TCTCTCTACAGGACATGATGAAAGCGTTGGCGGGCAGAGAGAGGCGGAGAAGGAGCAAAAAAAGGCTGCTACGACGTAATGGAGGTCGAGGAGGGGCCGGTCTGAAAGCGGACATGGTGCTCTAGCAGGAATGGAATAGTGAAACTAAGTGAGTTCTGGTGCAATTGTAATTTGGAATGGGCCTCTTCCTATTCGAAGAGCAAAAAGGGATTCTTATATTTCTTTTCATGAAACATTTTGTGTAATTATTTTGGTATCGAAAGGGGGCTCGTATGCGCGTGTTGCCCGGGTCGGGGGAGGAGGTCCTGTATCCCCTTCCGTTTACAGTGGTGGTGCACTAGTGCTGGCTCTGTCGACCAACGCGGGTCGCAATCAACCTTAGGCGCCACAAATGTTATGTACTTCTCGGTCTCGACGTGGGATAAAGTGAAAGAACTAAGCTTACAGCCTCCGCAACCCCATCGGAGACACTCCGACAACTTCAACTGACTGTCTCATCCGTACCCGCACATTACTCACATCCTCAAATAGCCACGGCGACAATGGTACAGGCAACGTGCAGGAGGAGAAGAGGGAAAAGACGTCTGTGGCCAAAATGTGACCACGTGTTGGTTGTCTGCGCCCTACTCTATTCTTACCTGTTGGCCCACGCTGCAGCTTTTCTCCACTCCCCGCGTCCGGTGCTCGGGGCAATCCGGCTGCCATGCACGCGTGATCGAGCATTGCGGGCCGCGAATCAAGGTCGTGGTAGCAAGAGTATGAGTGGGGGAAACAACAGCGATGTCGGTGCAAGCAAGCCGTCACGCGTGTCAAAAAGAAGCCAGTCGCCCGCGCCAAAGACGGTACCATCCGCACCGCCCAAGACAGGAAAGCCTTTGTCTTCCTCTAGCCCAGCAGCACCAGCCACTGCCAGAATCAAGCGACAGCCCACAAAGGCTTCCCCTCCTTCATCCTCCTCCAGCCAGCACTCTCCTTCATCCCGCTCTTCCTCCGCTCCTCCCGGTTCCCCTCCCTCCCGAACGTCAGCCTCTCCCCGTCTCGGCATGGATTGGGCGTGGTCCCTCGCTGCCCAACGAAGGCTTCCGTCCCTGGAGACCCCTTATCCCCCTATCCCCACCACCCAGCTCCTGGCCTGGGAGAGGGAGGGGCACACCCTTACCCGCTCCCTCTGCACTTCCGAGGAGCTGAAGGACTATGCGAAGGTCGTGCGCGCGGCCTTCGAACGGGAGAAACTCGCTGCTTTTCGGCAGAAAGTCCGGGTTTTGCTTGGCCCGGAGGCCTTTGAGGACTGCCAAACCCTGGAGGAGTGTGAGGAAGTGAT